ATATTTCGGCAAGAAATACATGTAAGAAAAATATACTTCAAAAAATTCTGATGTTTCATGAGAACAAGCGAATACATACTCAGTTTGCTCTTTTAAGGTAGGGCAGCTTAAAATAGTTGTGCATGGTATCTAAAAATGACAAGTTGAATTTTCTTGAATTCTAGGTGTTACGTTTACAACAAAAAGGGACGGCTGGTAAACGCACCATATGTAGACAACTCTTACAAATGGGCTGGTGGTGGCTTTCTGTCGTCAGTGGGTGACCTTCTGAAATTTGGAAATGCCTTGTTATACAGTTATCAAGCCGGACAATTTAAAAACAGTAACGACAAACTTCTTCCTGGGTACCTCAAACCAGACACAGTTGCAATGATGTGGACCCCAGTGCCAAAAACGGAAGTATCATGGGACAGGGATGGTAAATATGCAATGGCTTGGGCTGTTGTAGAGAAAAACCAACAATGTGGGTGCTGCAGACAGCAGAGACACTATGCATCTCACACGGGTGGTGCAGTGGGAGCAAGCAGCGTCCTCCTAATTCTTCCTGAAGAGCTGGACTCTGAAGCTATCGATAGTGGGGTAGTGGCACCACCCAGAGGAGTAATTGTTAGTATTATCTGTAATATGCAGTCAGTTTCACTCAACAGCACTGCCTTAAAGATTGCAAGGGAATTTGATAAAGAAAAACGGGCACAATATATAGATTAACAAAAGAGATACGTGTCACTGAACTCACTGTACCAACACGTGAAAAAAAAATGGAGAAAGGTGTAATTGAACTCTGAGATCTCTAAGAATACATGAAGAAAATGCATCAAAAATGCATTTAATTAACTTCTGCTAGTGGTGCTAAACTTATATGTAACTGGAATCCATCTCTCAGGGAAGTTACAGAAAAGGAGAATGTAACAGTCAAATTTGACCTCTTGTAGTACCTGTGTAAATTAGTTATATTAGCAGGTTTTTTTCTCATCCAGTCAAGCGCTTGACCAAGATTTAAAAAAACTAGCATTGCTTTCTTGCACTGAGAAGTACAACAACAAAGTATGTACCTTAAATGTTAAACTTGTGAAAAATTCCACGTCTTGATTTGAGCACACAAGGACATTACTCATTATTCTCACAGTTCCAGTCTGCCAAAACTGTTCAGTATTATTTTTAAAGAAAAATGGTTTTACTGTTGATTTTCATACTTTCACATAGTGCTTTTCTTATTTGCTTAAAAAGCAAAAAAACACAAATCTTGAAGCTACCTCTAGAATGCAGATTTATACCAGAAGTACGCTTTTGTCAGAGCTGTGGATTGTTAAGAACTAGAAAAGAATGAAGCTAGAGTAATGTAAGTAAAAATCTTTTTGTTATTTAGATGTCCTCTCTTCCGTTTTTATTGGACACAGAGAATGTGTGAAACTAGTTTACAGTGAAAAAAGGGTATTATTTCCACAGTCAAATATGCCCATATAGCACAACATGGTGAGCTGTCAGACTGTCTCATTGGTTTTGAATGATACACATGCTAACTGTGGTAGCCAGAAATGGCCCTGTATTCTGTAATGTAGAGATTCCTTTAGATATAGGAATTAGGAACTCAACTCCATAAAATTTAAAGCCTGTTCTTGAAGCCAGTAGTAGAAGTCTCACAGACTTTGAGAGGTTTTTTTGAAACCAGTCCTTTTTTCCATTTGGAGACCTGGCTCAAGGAGTTATTTTTGCACAAGGTTCAACAAGAAATTGTGACAGAGTTCTAAAGAAACATTTTTTAATCTTCAGTTATGCTGTAAGAATACAATAACGTCTGAATATGTTCATTTTAGATACTCCATAACAGCACTGAAGATCTCCGGGATTTACCCTCCCACCGCACTGCCCCTGCGGTTACATCAGACACTATCAGGCTGAGACAAAACAAAATACCCTTCAGGAAAGGTTTTAATACTTCCATCCCTGCACTGTTCAGCAGCTCTGCTTCTCTGAATTTAAGGAGCAAGATGTCTTGGGTAACAGCTAGCAGAAGATAGCCTTACCTGCCTCTTTCCCAAGTTAGTGCTTTTAGTATTAAATTCATAGTTGTTACCTGCCCTCTGATGAAACAACATGCTGGCACCTCCGTTCCCAGTATGCCTATGATAACATTTCTTACCTAAGACTGACCAGCCAGGAAATGTCATATTTTGAAGTGTCAGTGTTTTACCAACATTTTCAATTGAAGCTAGTAGGACTGGTTTCGTACACTTCGTAATTATAATCATTCTAGTGCCTTAAAACAGTAAAAGCTTACACCTAAAATGATTTGCTTGGGTTTTCTGGCCCACTCACCAAAACTTCACACTTTTATTCATTAATAATTGGTTGTCTTTATCTAAAGAATATCAGATCAGTAGAGAGAAGAGAGAGAACCTTTCTGAACAAACTTTCATTTGGTCAGGCAATCAGTTATCTACTGTTCCAGTGAAGTCTTTTGATATTGCTTGAGAGTTCCAATACAGAAGTACTGGAGGTGAGCATCTTCCACAGTAGCAACCTTTTTTTTTTTTCCAGTCTTGAGCACTTACTAGCTGGGTAAACATGCATCAGCAGAAGTCATTGCCCATTTTACACAGGGAACAACAGTAAGTAGTTGTCAGTTGTTTTCGAGTTGAAGAATACATGAGTAGAAATAGACCAGATATAATGTTTTAAATATAGAAAATCTGAGAAGTAGCACTGTTATTTTAGGATTTGTAACATACTTTTCTTGTATGATGCATCTGTTTGGAAGTGGTACTTAAGATTCTTGAAAACCATTTTGCATACTTGAGAGAAAACAAGTTTCACTCACTGACCATTGCATTTGGGTTTAGACATAGATTCAGAATGTAGAAGGTGTAGGTTTACCATTATGTTTGTCTGCATATGAATAACACTAATAAATGTAAATATTTGAAGTATGTATGAAAGTGATTAATGGTAAGAAGCGTCTAAGGCATTTCTAACACCAAGATATTAATGACAGCATCTCACTCCCCTCATAGAATATGTTTAGCCACCAATTTTTTTATATGCAAACTATGTTCTTTATTCTGTTATCTCCCGTAACTTAAGGCTTTAAAAAAAAAAAAAAAAACCAGAACTCTGATATATGTCCAATATTGAAGATACTATGATGTCTAAATTTCATCTTCCAGTACCTGGAACAAAATGGGTCACTTTCTCTGATTTGGTGTTTATTTAATCATGAGTTCTTATATTCTAGGGTAGAGAAAGATAAGACAGAAATATGGGAGACTAGGAATCAGTCTGGTCTTAGCACACGAATTCAGGTCACAAGTGAATTAATACTGCGACTTTGATCTTTGTTCTGAAACCGGTTATTTCATGGACTGGTATTAAGTGTGAGAAACTGGGTAATTACAAGCAGCTTCCATGATAAACTTGCCTTTAAATTAACCTTTATTGTGAAAACACAGTATGGCACTCATATAAAACTCCTTTTCTTAAAAGGCATGTATACTACATTAGTGCATCTATTTCTGTATCAAACACCTACTTTTTGTGTCTGGTAATTGTAAGTGTTCACTGTTTGAATTAACTGAAATAAAACTTATCTTGCAAATGCAACCAATTTTAATATCAGGTTTTGGGGTTTTTTTATTGACTGGAAGTATACAAGTTTTGAAAGTCATAAAAAGAATACAGGTTAAATAGAAATTCCCAACAGTAATTAGCGAACAAAGACACTGGATACTTTGAGATGTTGATACATAACTTGAAATATTATTTAGTAAAATAAGGTCCATGTAAGACTGAATGTTTTCTCATGGTTTACAAACAAAAAAATCCACTCTTTAACAGACATTTAGGAAGGAATGGCTTTTAATAACCAACTAAAACCCTGTTTCCTCATTAAAAAAAAAGGTAATTAAAGGTATTTAATACTGAAAATATGCATGGTTTTGCTGTACTATTTTTTTTTAATGACTGGATACCATTCAAAGCTGTTAGTCTAGTTTGCTGACTTACTGTTGCTTATATACCATATGCCTTCTCTGTACTGAATGTTTTTTTTTTTAAATAGAAATCTCAGTGTACAATGCAGTTTCAAGACCAGATTAGAGGGAGGGGAAAAACCATACATTCCAGAAAAAACAGCTGAACGTAAGTTAGTAACGTTATATTTTTATTTATCACCACGTTACTCAGCATGGTGAAGGGACTAAACCAATGTTGAAAGCAAATGAGCCATTTTAAAATCTGTCTAGGCTTTACAACCCTTGCAGTTAGGGTAGCTGCAGTAACGAAGTACACAAAATGCACTCTTACAGCCGTTTCTGTCAGCAGATGGATTACACTGCTGTAGTTGACAACAAGGAGAAGGATGCAGCAAGTCCAAAGTTTTTATATTAAAAGACACCACCCAATTAACAACACACTGTTTAAAGTAAAATGGAGCTCAGTTGTCTGTAAACTCACAGGAAGAACTTGCACTTCAAATCGTTTATTGAAAAAGAGATTCCAGCTCATTAGTCACCAGTAGCATGTAATTTTTATAAAATCAATTGTAATTACATTGTATTAACAGGCATTTTTAATCTGGTAAGGCTTTCAGGAACACAGATCCAAAACCACATGCTGAAGTGTTAAGTGTTGCTTTCTTCTAAATGAACAGCCTGTAAAGAAATCATGAGTATAGATATGAATAGTCCTTAAATTGTTAAGACAACTGCCCTGGAAAACTGCCCACCCAACTTAAGTAGCAAAACTCGTGCAATAAATTTAAATTTCATGTACCACAACAGGTGAAAATTTAGCACTTTGAGTGCTCTCTTAACCAGAACAACATGGCTGTCATATAATTAACTGCAAAATACGGCTACGGTGTACTGTTTCTTTTCTTACAGATGCCTTTTAAAATTTCAGTCTACTGTTCCATCCCTTAGTGATACAAACCCCAAGCTGAAACTGCTGCTAGGAGTGTTGATACCTTTTCAACTGCTCAACAGCGTTACTTCAGGTCTTCTGTCCTCATATAAACTACATCTGTATAGTAGCACATGGTATAAGCACTACTATATGTAATTTGCATATATACTTACCTTTTGCCCTTTAAACAACACATGAGCAAAATCTGGATCTGTTCTTTAATTACTTACCTTTTGTCCTTTAAACAAAACATGAGCAAAATCTGGATCTGTTCTTTAATATTTTTTTTTTAAATCTGGTGTTTCCAGAGTTTTTCATATACCCCAGACATTGGGTTGCATTTCAAGATACTGGTGCTATGCCCGTTATCTATATACAATATCAGTGGTTATTTGTTCCCTTATAATTTATGCAAAACAAATTTTGATTAAGTAACATGAGCCAGGGAACTGCCTTACAGTGCTATTCTTTAAAAATAAACAGGCAAGCCACCACTGACTAGCAGTGGCACAGAATCACTTCAGCCTGGCAAAAGTACCCTACTCCTTTAGTGGTGCTTTTTAACACTAGCTCAGAATTAAATAGGCAGTATTTATTATAAATAGGCAGTATTTATTACAAATAGGCTAATGGAAAGGACAAGTCAAAGCACCTACAATCAAGTGTGTTTGATCACAGTGTAGCTGCTTAGCTGCCTAGCATATCTGTATACCCATTTAAAAACAAAAGTCTGAAGAAAAATTTGCAATTCAGGCCCATTAACAATGTTTTTACTAGCTAATTCTAAGCAATTTGCAAAACAAGCATTCCAATATCAGTTTTCAAAATCGAGGCTAAAATACTTGCAGGCTATAAATACATAAATGCCTTTATGTAAGTGAAATATTTAGGCTGCTAAACCCTGTCCCTTACCTTCTGTCAGCCTGGCTTTCCCCCCAGTAGGCTGACACAGGACAGTTGAGCACCCTACACACAGAACTACTGTCTGAGCATGGCTGAATACAGTGGTGATCTTGTAGCACCCTGGAAAACAGTATTATTAAAGTTTCCACTGAGTATTTCTAGCATGATTTTTTTATCATATGTGTAATTTAATCAGATAGTCTAAATACTTGTCCAAAAATGGATCTATATTTCGTTACACAGCCCACCATGTAAAACAAAGCAAAACATTATTATTGTGCTCTGAGGTATTTGCTTTTACTAACATGCATATGAAAGCAAGTTAACTGAAACTGTTATGACTTCTCATATGAAAATCAACATAGCCTGATGGCTGACAAGCCCTAACTTGCCTGTAGTATGTCTCCTGCAAAAAAAACTGAGGGGTTTTAGATTAGCCTTCTCTACTGAATAGAAGAGCCCATCTAGCTAGAGAAATATTTAACTTGGAATAGAAGAGCATTGCTGGTGACAAAGTCTGGCAGCTGTGAATATAAACACTGCAGTCCAAATTGCATGTTTGCCTTGTGTTTAATGATTGGTACGCGTAAGGCGTGCTTGGTTGCATTCTACAAAGCTAGCGTGATATTTAAACGAGAAGACTTGCACAGAGTAACTTCGCTAATTCCAAATGCAAGAAGAGGCAGCAGCAACACTTTGTCCACAACTTCTAAATTCTATGACTTACAAAAGAATGACATCACTGTCATACATGGTTTAGACAAAAGGATTTCGTTGCTCTAATTCTTTTCCCTGAAGAGTATTTTTTAATTAGCCAAGAGGTATTTGTGGAGAGACAAAACTTGTAAAGGATTTAAGCTAGATGTGGATATAGAAAATAGACAAATAGATAAAGGTGAGCATAGATGCCATTTTCAGGATGTGGGGACCAGAAAGATAAGATAGGAAGGTCCTCAGAAAGCTCTCTGACAAGAGAGATAGAGACAACTCCTGTTAGAATACAGATTGCTGCTTTGTTTAAATCACAAAAAGTAACTACACAAATCTTTGCAAAAAACTACTAGCAACTGAAATTTAACCAGAGCAAGTGGTGTTTCCCCCCCCCATAAATGTGAACTTCCACACTGAGGAGCTTTTAGCTTTGTGGATTTTGCAGGGAAATGAGCCCAATCCATTTCAGTAACTAGGCAGCAACATCCAACAACACTGAATGAGGTGTGAGGCTGTCTGATACTATCAGTGTCTCATGTTTAGGACTCTTTCCTCCATATATCCCTCAAACTCACTAACCAATTATCTCACAGTAATTAAGATAAGCAGTGACCTGTGTTCACATTAACTCTTACTATACCCATGCATATACACTGGTTTGAAGAAAGTTCAAAAAAGAAAAGTCAGTGGCTTAGCCTCCAACCATGTATTTTTTTACAAGTGACCACACTTAACTTTCAAACAGTTTTCATGACTTTACCTCACTTTTAGATGGAAAACAATGTCTCAGAGCTTCTTAGAAATCTAAGATAATAAGAAAACCTGGATTCAGCAACAGCCATTCCCTGTGACTAGTCAGGATGATTACTGTTGCAAGTCTCTGCATTTTCTTATTGCAATAATCTTCTTCTACTGCAGTAGTTTCTAGGAGATAAGTTACCACACTTGACAATTTTTGTGCCTCGAGCTGGATGTAGCTGTGCTCATCAAAGCAGCTGTTCACTGATAAGAGCATATTCCTGTAATTGGGCTAGAAAACCCACGATTTAGGTTATAAAAGAGAAGTTGGTTATAGAGATGTTTTTGAGCCAAAGTAATAAAAATCTGTGAAAAGTGGACACAGGCAACACCTTAAAAAAAACTAACAAAAAGACCCCCTCATGCCAGACGTCCAGAAAAGAAAATAAAAAGCTAATTTTTTAAAATTAACTTTTGAAAAAGGTTGAAAACACTTTTATTGTTAAAAAAACTCAAAGGACAATACAGACTCTTTTTTTCCTCTACAGACCAGATAAACCGTATTGAGATTTAAAAAAAAAAAAAAAGACCTGGTGAACCACATACAAAATCAGGTTAGTCCCTTCTGTGAGATACAATCATTTAAAATATTTACCTGGACATTTTACATCCATAAAGTAGGAGTTTGGGCTCTGCCCCAGCCGTTTCTTTTTGTGCTTTCTCTTCTCATCCTCCAAGGAGGGATGCACTAGATCCTTTGCGAGCTGGGGAGGACAGGAGGAAGCACGCACCGCGGGTTAAACAGCTGCTGGGCAGCCGGGATGCCGCCGAGCC